TAAAAGTCAGTTAATTTTAACTGGCCAAAATAAACCGGAATGACTTTGTGTGTTTTTCTGTGTATTGTYATTGATTGTTTTGTTGAACAGTACCATCTTCGAACCGCGGAGGGAAGCTCTCAGAATCATATTCATGATTTTGACAGGGGGTTATCTCTACAACAGCATAATCTTTTGTTTGACATATTTGTGGAAGAACATTCAATAAATTCAACCATGATAGGTTGTTTAACTTTTTTTTACTCTATTTGACTATTTGACTAATGTATTCAGTTTGAATGAATTCTAAAATTTTACTGCATAATGTTTATCATGCTCAACAGATTTTATTATTAAAAAACAGATACTGACTAAAAATTAATATAGACATGTTTAAGCTATCTAATATTTTGAAAAATTCTTTCAGCATAATTTCTGAGAGTAAATAATGCAACATAAAAACAAACACTATAATGTAAATGTGATCTTATGAAAGTAAAAGATACACAAGCTTGTTTTCACATTGTTATACACTTCTGTATTTCTTTGACTTATTCTGTGATTAAAAACAAATCTCTCAGTTAGTAAACTASTAGAGTATGTTGGCCTCACATGAGTCAGGCCTCAGTATCTGTAAAGTGACAATGAGTTTTATAGCCTTTCTGAACCAGGGGTAAAAAAGTGTGTAGATCACAGGATTTAGACAGGAGTTTAAATAGAATGGAAAAATGATATAGACCATAGATGCAGCACTGACCAAGTCACTCACAGCAAGAGAAATACAGTAATATGGACAAAAACATAGTAAAAACACAAATACAAGAACACCAAGAGTCCTGGCTGCTTTCAACTCAGATTTCTTTGTTTTTACGTTACTTGATTTCTGGAGGGCAGCAGCTGTRATGTGAGAGCGCATGGCACGAGCCTGAGACACAGCCACCACAAAAACTCTCATATACAGAACTATGATGGCAGTAACTGGAAATGTGAAGTTCATAATTAGGTCAAAGGTACCCACAATATAGCTCATTACAACTTTACATTCCCCAAAGCAGGACCTAGTCCTGCCTGGTTCAATAAGTTCATCTTTCACGTACAAAAAGCTGCAGGAAGCAGCACAGAACCAACACAGACAAACACTATATTTGACTTTTGCCATAGTGATTCTGGTGAGATAATGTAGAGGGTCACAAATAGCTGTGTAGCGATCAATTGATACAAGCACAATGTTTCCTACTGAAGTGGAAATAATTTGACAAATCATATAATACAATAAAGAACATGTAAAATCCCCAAGAAACCAACAGGATAAATTTCTAAAGATTTCTAAAGGCATCAACAAGCAACCAACAAGGAAGTCTGAGACTGCCAAAGATAGAAGGATGACATTAGTGGGAGTRTGGAGTTGCCTGCAGTGAAATAATAAATAAATAAATTACTCATCATAATCAACAAACTACATGCAATGAGTATTTTTTTCAGATTTTGTAAATAAACACAATTAAACGTAAGTGCATATTCTGCTGAGAATTTGATCTTTGCCTGAAATGGGAGACTGAGATGATGACGAGCAGGTTAAGAGWTGCAGTGATCAGAGAGATAAACACCAGGAAGTTCAGGAACAAWRATTTAGMTTGATGAARTCTTGGCTTCAGACACGAGCTGTTGAGTAATTGTGGAAAACAAAGTTTGTCTCTGTTATCCATCATTAAACAGTTCTGGTCCTCTGACTAATAGTCTGTGATGCAGCTCGTGTTTTTCATCCCTCCTTTCTCCCATTTTTAGGCTCTCTGGGGCTTTGTCCTCACTCCTTTTTTGCTCCATGCAACTCCTATCTCTCTTTGCAGTGCAAGACTTCTAAACATTTCATTTGTTCACCAACTCATCTAAAAACATTTATTGCATTTTTTCCTAATGATGTTTAAACATATTTGTTTACAAAAACAAACTAAAACCTATTTTTATAACTTGCCTTTATACTAATTATTTTCTTCTTCTGAACAACTTCCTTTTCTCATTCTATAATTAGAATATTATGAAATATTAGTAATTTTTATTGATGTTATTTATTTTACTGTTACAAATGTGTCATAATACTAAATTAAAAAGAAAAGGAAACCAAAACAGGCCTAACAAAAGTTATATTTATGTTATTTTGTTTAAAAATTTACTGAAATATATTTTCACATTATGTATAACAAAAGTCAACTAATAGCCCTCAGATTGTTTTGCAGAAGGAGGGGGTAGGTCCTCAGAATCTCAGAAACACAGTCTCCTCTCTATTTGGTGCATTTGATGCAGTTGATATTAACCAATAACATTTCGCAGTGACACTTGATGTTTTGATATAATTTCCTAATGAATACTTTCTAAAAACCCGCTAAATGTGGTAAAAAGCAGCCCAAATTTTAACAACAAGCCCAAAGCTGTTTTTTTTTCTAGCGCAACAAGTTCAAAAGGAGCCCAATTGGGCGGAACAACATTTCAAATCCTGAAACACTTTTACATGTTCTGAAACAAATTTACATTTCAGAAAACAAATTTACAACATTCAAAACACTTACAAATCCTGAAACATTTTAGAAAACAAATTTACATTTATTAAATAAACCACTTTCAGTTTGACAAAAGGTTGTTTAAACTTAAGGATAAACCTTCACAGAGTGCTTGCAGCACTTCTTGCTACTAATTTAAGCCTGTATTAAACACTTCCTTTAACAAACAGGGTCTATTCAACAGATGAATTCCTGAAAATTGGAGTTAAAACCTGTAAAATTTGTAGGAAAACATTTAGAAATAAACCTTTTATTTTAGAAGAATTTGTGTTTTTAATGCTTTTATTCTTGTTTCAAAGCAAAATTTATATTGTTATCGGCTGATTTTAACGCTTTCTCAATGAATGTAATGTAGTGATTTCCTGCTTATAATTATCAGTTCTGACTATATTTCTTAACTTGTTCCTATGATGACACAAAAAGGAAGAAAACCTCCATTTTGACCTCAGACTATTTTTAAGGATTTTGCATGGAATTCATTTGTGGCTTGAATTAACATCTCTCAAACCTTCTCCCACTAGACTTTGCRAYGACGCCCCAGCAGTCAAACTGATAGAATTTACATTCAGATAAGTCCCTGTTGCTTCCAGCCCCCATAAGGACTGTCTGTTTGTTCCTCTTCAAAGGGACCATAAATTTCCTTTCACCAAATCTTTTCAAGTGACTGAGAACAAAGAAATCTACATTCTTCATTAAATGTGAAAAAAGAGAACAAGATTGAATGTTTTTATACAACTGACTGTTTTCATATATCTTAATCAAAGAAATGTGATTTACCTGTTTCTTTTTACAGAAAGAACAAAACCCTTTGAAGCTCTACTATGTTCTCTTTTTAACTAAGTGTTTGCACACTGGGGGCTCAGTGTGGTAACTGTGTGGTGTTGGTTGTTTTGATGAGATGTTCTCCTGAAGGAGATGTGTGTTTTATTCCATGATTTAATCCTTAGAAACTTAGGACTTGAATTTTAATAATTAACTGTGACAATTTTATTCCTGAGGCAAAGCCCAGATAGCCCCTCTCTCCCTTTAATTAGATGTGAGATAAACAAACTAAAACCCTCCTTGATTTGTTTTCAAAGTAAAATTTACCTCCAACAGATTAGTGCTCAGACGTAGTTTGATTCTTATCTTTGTATGAGATTTGRTAAACTAAACAATTTTTCTCTTCCATTAAACTAGGACACTTAGTTAAAAAACCAGCTAAAAGTAAAACTCACCTCACCTCACTCCAAGCCTCAGAACTCACCTCTCAGTGTTTGTTTGTTTGTTTGTTATTCACTTGTGATTGCAAATTCTTTCAGTTTTACATGGTTCAATTATGTCATCATCCCTTACTCGCCATAGTTGTAAATACATTTAATCTGTAAATAAATGACCCGGGGAGAACTGGTCCATATGAGACAACATCTAATTTTTGTGTCTTAATAAGATTTATTGGTTTTGATAAGAAAAGAACTCTTCAAACAATTTTGGGCAGATTTATTGTGAGACTTATTACAGTAAAGTTACAGTTTTTTATTCTCTTTCCTGTGTACAAATAACAAATAAAATGGAAGTGGTGCCTCGAGGTTAGATAATTAGCTTATTTAAATGATTCACAAATTATCAGTTTCACATTTACAAGCAAACAGACAGTTTCCTTCTTGTAAAACTGTCCTCACAGCCCAGCGGTGATGCGCGGCTGGGCGCGCACCCGCTAAGAGTTTCCGGTCTGGTCCAGCGAACCAAACCCAGTTTTTCTGCTCAGAACTACCTTTTTAAAACACACACAAAACTTCAAATGTGTCTTTTAAGCACTAAGCAGGTAAAAACTTTGAGCCCACGACTCACAACAAACAGCGCTTTTACGCCGTAAAACTGGACGGACCACAATGGGTTTTCAGTCCGAACTTCAGCTCTGCTGCTCAGCTCACTTTTCTCAAAGCAGTCTCGTAGCAGCTGTAAATTACCCCTCGCATATTATTCACATATAGATGAATATAGCGTAACAATTAATAGGCTGGCAAGCCTATTGTATTTGTTAATAGAGCGTCACTTATATCTTGTGTGACGTTTTAACACTCACAATATACAGTCTAACARATTTAAACAGTCTGGGACACAGACCTACTGAATCTGGTTCAAATGCATGCACAATCATAAACTCACTTCCAAGCGTAGTTTAACAAATAGCTTTCMCAGCATGTGTAAGCCCTGCTGGTCGTGACGTCTACGTTTTTCACAACCGTAAATAAACAGCTTATTACCGTCCACCAAGCACTTTTAAAAGTTTTTCTGAACACTCTCAGCCAAGATAATCATCTTTGAGTCATAGAAATGACACAGAACAACTGCCAACAGTTGTTTACAGATTCAAAATTTGCACAAAGATATTAACCTTTTAAGAATCGTACGACTACCAAAATGTAGAGATTACATTTAAGAGCTGTTTTCGGGCCACCAATATGTAGGTGGGACCTGTACGAGCCACCAATATGTAGTGATTTATACAACACCTTATAATAAAAATTATAAGGAAATTCACGGTTTCTTCTTATTTTCGGTAATATCTTCTTTATACGAAAATGAATTGGCAAAACACACAAGATGAGCATACTATTACATAAAGATCATTTATTTATTTACAGAATCAAATAAATCACTAATGTACATTTGTGAGACTAATTTCCTATAAAAAGTTTAACAACAAACTTTGCGGTCTAGATGTTAATGAACTAATAGTTTGCGGCACTTTTCTTAAGTTTTGGCAGGGCAGGTTTAAGAGGAAAGAAAGGAGGAGGAAGAGGATTAGTTCGTTTTAACTTTATCCTTTAAAGAATGTGGATTTTAACCAGAAAGGGCATACGTCTCTCAACAAATTCAGCCAAACCTCAGGTACGCTTCGCAACAAACAGCCATTACCTTGACCTGGGATAGTTTCATCCACCACGGCTCAAATCAGAGGAAAGAACATCCAATTGGTGAAGAACTTCTCGGAACCTCATCCAGTCGAACACTTTCCAGGCGTATTTATAGTACTCCTTCAGCGTCTTCTGGGCTGCTTTCAATTGAAGATCAGAGATGAGGTGCTTCTCTGTATCCGTCTCAAAAATAGAATACTTCCACATGGACGTTTCAAAACAAAAGTTTCTCTATGAGTAACTTTGGTAAGCTCAAAATAGATGAAACCGAGTGGTGGTCTGGTCTAGGCTGAAAGGTTCCCTTTGACTCAGTAGGTTAAGCCTCACAGCCAGGCTGGTTCTCCTCCTTGGAGAGCCAGCTGTGTCCTCGTGAAGCACGAGCGCATTCGCTTTCCAACTCAACTCCACATACTGACTGTTAGTTCAGAGATGTTAGTTTAAAAGTAGGAAGGTTAGTGAAGGACTACCAGATGTTGCTTGTCTTAAACAAAATTGTTGACGTCTGCACGGTCGTCCAGCTCGTTCTGACCTGCTCTCTGCTGAGAACAATTTAAAGAACAAAAAGAATGATTTACTGAAAACTTAAAAATGAATTATTTTATAAAGAACATTCATTATAATGATTCAGATAAAAAAATAATTACAAAATATTTCATAACAAAGCTTAACTATAATGCAAACTTTAGTTAAGTAAAATATTTTAAACTTAAAAATTTATAATCAATTACTGTGGTTTCACAGTTAAAGTTCAAGCAGTGATTTACATCACAGCACAATAAAACATTGTAAAAACATTATTTTTGTGTTCTCTTTTTATACATTGATAAAATCATTAATAAAAGAAGGTTATTCTGTTTATTATATGATTAATAAGAAGAAAATGTCTCTTTACTAAAACCTGTTATGACTTCAACTTGAACAGAGTTCTGTCTCTGAAGGAGGCCTTCTGAGACCAAGGTCAAAGACAGGTGGAACTATTCACTCCACCCCTAGGTGACCACTACACAGTAATATTTTAACTGAATATTTAATATATTTTTATGAGCCTTTTACATAATTTGTAAGATACTATAATCTACCAAATCATAAAACTTCCAAGAATTTCAACTTTTAAAATAATATTTATTGGATGACCATAATGTTTTCTACTAATAATTCTTACAGCCCTGTTTTGTAAAATAAAATTTGGATTTGTAATAGTTTTGCATGCTTTTTCCTAAACCTTAACACAATATATTAAATATGGTACAATTGTTGAATTATAGAATATATACAATTTACATCAAGTTTTACATCAAATTAATGTTAGTGTCAAGGCTTTAAACAAAGTMAATTATACGTTTTCATCCATGGTTCTGAAAGCAAGCAAAGAAAATCACCAGAAACCGAGATAAGTAAAGGAGTGTCCAAAATGTAAAGTAATTGCTTTTACTTGACAGAATTTTAGATGTAATTCTGCAAGCAGCATCAGAATCCTGATGTCAGGTCAAAGAGGCAGAATCGGACCCAAATGCAGGCAGGCAGGCAAACAGCAAAAATATTTATTAAAATAAAGAGCCAACATGGTGGCAAAACAGAAAACTCACAAACTAAGCACACAGGGGAGCCGGGACAGAAACCAAACAATGGGCCTCATGCAAGAACATGTTCATATTCTTATCCTAAATTTCTCTTACTTTTGTTCGTACGAACATGTCACGTCAGATTCAACAAATTCTTCTATTTTCAGGAAAAGTGTGTAAATGAGCTGCGTAAATTCCACCTGTTCGTATCCAGCTGCTCGTGCACGCGAGAGGAGATTAGCATAATTACCACCCCAAAAACACAATATAAGGCTATGTTTCCTGCCTCAGATATCAGGAAGTATCCATTCATGAAAATGACAGAGAAAACTAAAATGAAGTACTTTACGAGTTCAGAGATTGAAGTCCTGCTGTCAGAGATCCAGAAAAGAAAATCTGTCATTTTTAGCAGTGTCAGCTGTGGAATAAAATGAGATGATAAAAGTATAAACAACTGTGTTACATAATTTTCATTTATTCAGAAGCCACGCCATTGCACACCGTAACACCCCCCTGGCGCAGTCGCAAATGATCTCAGTTGCGGTTCTGAAATAAGCATTTGAAAATGTTTTCAAAATGTGTCTGGCACTTTAAAACCCAGGACTCGCTGGAGGGATTATGTATCCCCTCTGGCCTGGGAACATCTCGGAGTCCCCCAGGACGAGCTGGAAAGTGTAGCTGGGGAGAGGGATGTCTGGGTCTTTGTTGCTGCTCCCGCGACCCGATCCCGGATAAGCGGCAGAAAACAGACAGACGGACAATTTATATTGTTAGTCAAAATTATTACATTTAAAATTATAACTCTAATTCAAGCAGAATATCCTATTGTCAAGATAATCACAGAGTGTAGGCCTAATTTATTTTCAACTCAAAATATCTTCAAACTAACAAAATATAAAGTTATTAGTGAAGAAAACCCATTTGGATAACAGCAGACTGAATGCTCGTAAAATATACTACAGGTCTGGACCAAACGTGAATTTTGTTTGTATCTGAAAAAAAATCTTAGAATACGAAAACATTGGTGAATACCACAAATTCTTCTAAATCACTCGTACGCACAACTTTAGAACAAATCTGTGCGTATGAAAGGTTTTTGCATGAGGCCCATTGATCAGATACTGAGTGGAGAAAACAGACTGACTAAATACAGGGCTAGGATGATTGAAGGTGGAAACAGGTGAGATGATTACAAGTGTTCGCAGGTGTGAATGGAATGATCTGGAGAAAGGTAAAAACTGAGGTGAATGTGTAATGGCACGAAGAGGACACAAGAGGGACACTGCAGATAAGACACAAGAAGACAGATCCTCACACCTGAGTGCTTTGTGGTGAGTATTTGAATAAAGTAACACTGGACAAAAAGGCCTAATATCCAGGGAGATCCAACAGTATGTAAGTTTACGGATCTGCCACATATCCAAAATGTTTCCGGAGCTATAYGGGGAGATCTCATCTGTAACAGATCCTAGTACAGGATATCCTCCGTAAACACAACTGTGAAAGATCCTAGTACATGATATTTTCCGGATACACATCTATGATAGATCCTAGTACAGGATATTTTCCGGATACACATCTGTAATAGATCAGAGTATTGGATATTTTCTGGATACCATACATGATATATCCTGGGAGATCCAACAGTATGCAATGTTTATGTATCTGCCACATATCCAAATTTTTTCCGGAGCTATATGGGGCGGATCTCATCTATAATAGATCCTAGTACAGGATATCCTCCGTATACACAACTGTGAAAGATCCTAGTATAGGATATTTTCCAGATACACATCTGTGATAGACCCTATATTGCATATTTACCGGATACCCATCTGTGATAGATCCTAGTATTGGATATTGTCTTGATTCCCACATGATAAATCCTACATGATGTTTTCCAAATACCCATATGATATATTCTATAGCAGTGGTTWCCAAACTTTTTATCTTCTGACCCACTGAATATTTATGGCAAAAACTTGTGACCCCAAATATTACTGGTCTGAGTACACAAACTTTGTCAACCCTAAAAACAAAGGCTACACAGATATAAATACTTATTTATACTTGTTTTGTGTTTTTGTAATAATTATAGGGAAAATATTACATCACCAATTATTTTATTACCCTTTAAACTGATTTCTGAAGTGCAGTGGTTCCCAAACTTTTCAGCTTTT